TGTGTGTGTGTGTGTGTGTGTGTGTGTGTGTGTGTGTGTGTGTGTGTCCCAGGCCCATGGCTTTGAGATCCTGTGCTCTAAGTGCAGGCTGCCATCATCAGAGCCGGATGCCCCCGTCAGTTGTAACCCTCAGTGGAAAGGCTTCATGGACAGTCTGAAAAGCAACAACTACTTCCGGGTTAGTCTCAATTTTTGAATGTTTGAGGCCAAGAGGAATAGTCGCTACCTTACCACACCTGGAATATTAGGTTTGGCATAAAAGCACACATTGTAAAAATATGTAATATACTCAGCATTTATCAACTGCAGGAAGAACTGGAAGGTTCGGCTCATTACAGAGAACTGACGAGATCTGCGGAAAACTTCTTCAAACAGTCCGTCGCCTCAAAATCAAGGTGAGTACTGTGGCTCTGCATGCGCGTGTATGGACACTGTGTGAATATGGCTGCCTGTGAAATCCCCAGTGTGCCTGAATCTTACCTATTGTGTCTCAGTGCTTTGTCCCCGGGTGAGGAGGTTCTCCAGCTGTTGCACAGCTGCGGTCCGATCGACTTGGAGGAGCTGAAGAAACAAGAGTCACAGCTCCCCCAAGAGGACAGTGAGTGGAAATCTGTCCTTTTGAATATGAAACACTCTATTTGGCTAGAATGATGACCGATCCTGACAGCAGAAATAAAGTATCAAAATGTCTGAACATAGAAACGTAGAGAATGGTCAACCTACATATTCAGTATGTTGGGTAATGTTTGCTTGTGGAGATTTTACTACTTTACTATCTTACTAAACTGGAGCTTGTAGGACATTTGTCTCTGCCACCTGTGATTTTCTGCCTCCTTTCAGTTCCTGTCCTTTTGGTGTGCATCCTCCATTCTCTACCCTCTCTCTCTCTTTAGAGCATTTCCCATAATTATTTTGTCTTTTGTGTCTTTCTCCAGGTGACAGCTGGCTGGATATCACAACTCAGGATTTGGAGCGCATGTTGCAGGAGAGGAGTGGGGGGAGAGCTGATGTTGGCAGCCAAAACTCCAGTTCTACCAAACAGGGGAAACAGCATGTCGGGGGTGCTGAGGAGAGGAGAAAGGAGACGGAGGATGAGGAGAAGGAAGAGGAGGCCGGTTACAGCCTGGTAGCAGTCAGTCAAGGGATGAAGAACTTCCTCAACGCCATGTCGTCGCATGAGGGGGCTGAACTTCCCTGGTGAGACTGACTGACTTTTGATCATATTTAGCCAAGATCTTCAAATGCACATTTGGGTCAATGAATAAAATGATTTAGGATTATTTATGTATTTATTTTCCATATGATACTAAAAGGTAATGGGCAGAAAACATACCCACACACATGTTGGAGTACAGTAAATCCAACCACGGTAGAAATTATGGTTTTTAATGTGCATTTGGATGTAACTCATGCATTGTGATCTCTCCATGGTCCATCTGGGCTCCAGATGCTAGTGCATGCACACTCTAGCCTGCCTCGCTAATGTATTCAAGGTGCATTGTCCCACCGATAGTGTTTCCGTTCAGGTTTCACATTGTGTTTCTTTGTATTCCAGGAGCAGTTCGACTCAGCCTTTTAGTTTTGAGCCTGACTCCATGGCCAGCGCACTGGACAGACTACTCGGTATGTGGATGTTATGAAAGATGTGAAACCAGATGTTAAAAATAACTGGCAGAAACTTGCCACATCTTCTTCTGAATCTGTTTTTAATTTTATTTTTATAGGAAGCAAAGAAGAAGAGCTAGATTCAGATGATCTAGATGATGATGATGATGATGATGAAGAAGCCGGTGATGAGGAGGAGGAGGAGGAGGAGGAAGAGAAAGAAGGTCACACAGAGATGAACGGGACAGAAACTTTGGACGGTCTCAGAAAATACATGGATGAAATGGATCAGGAGCTGATGAGCACTAATATAGGACAAAGCTTCAACCTGACGGTAAATTACATACCTACATAAATTATTAATTTTCAAAACGTATGTGCAATAATGCATGTGTATCGTCCTGACTCTAGTTATGAAACCATCTGTTTTACTACATTTGTCGTTTTCTGCAGAATTACAACAAGGCGGGCTCGGACAATGGCTCCCCTCATTCCTCTGCTTCTGTCCATGGAGGGGAGAGAGAAGAGGAAGAGGAGGAGATCCAGCCTCTGGACGTCGACCTGAATCTGCTCACAAACCTGCTGGAGTCCCTCAGCTGCCAGTCGGGGCTGGCCGGACCGGCTTCTAACCTGCTGCAGAGTCTCGGTATACACCTACCGCCCAACTCTGACCCCTCATAAAGGACAAGACTCGGGTACTGAAACACGCAGCAAGGATTAGCATCTGCAGCTGACGGGCTTCCCTTAAGTAGTTAGCTGAATGCCTTCATTCGCATTGACAATACAGAGCACTCATGGATGTCGAGGATGTCCCGTAGAGCTTTTATTGAAAGCAAACATTCAATGTTTCTCACTGGAACTTAATGTGCGCACTGTAAAACGGCATTCTTTAGGAATGAAAACCAAGTTGGGTCATAAAACAACAGCAACAATATTTTTGACTGTGTTTAAACCTGCATTGTTTGTAGTTTACAGTTGTTATAACATTATGTTGCCATAAATCTTTATGTGGAGTTTTAATTGACGTTCCTTAATCGAAAAAAACTAAGTCTCTGACCGTCTTGATTTAGTATTTAGTTGTGAAATAATTTGGGGAACAGCGCATACCATCGAACTTCAGCGTCTCCAGTTCGATCCCAGCCGTGGGACCTTAGTAGGGTGTTAGATTCTCTCTCTCCAATTACCTCCATCACATAACGGTGAAGAATGGCCAACAAATCATCTTAAAAAATAATAATAATTTGGAGAATGCACATTTGAGCTTTGAAGGATGAAGCAGAACTCTACCTACAGAAAAGTGATCTCAGCAAGTAATGACGTTTCTATTGAATCCGGTTTATAGAGGATTTTTAATACGTGCAGTTTTGTGTAATGTTGTGTCCTTTTTTTTTTTTTTTGAGAGCACTTGCATTTGGCTGTTAGAAACAATAAATATTTTTGGAAATAAAGTTTTATTTCAGTGTCATTTCTTTTTTAAAATGTATACAGATTCTTTATTATATTATTTGTTTAAGCATGTGAAATATCAGCTTTTATTTTAAAATATAATACATAGTGTGAAAAATAATAAAATCATATTCTTTAATTAAGACAACTAAGCTTCTGGTAATAACCCACAAACCTCTGGTTAAAAATTCATTCAGTCAAGGGTCTAAGTTTAAATATTATTTACAGAGTTAAGGGAACGCTTTGAAGCATGTTCAACAGTCTGTCCAGTTACTCATCCTCGTCCCTTCTTATCTGAAACATCTGTCAATCATTCAAAGGTAAACATCCGAGTTTAAATACGTTAATCTTAAATATTGTTCAATAAATTGTCACATTTACAGTGGGGTCCAAAAGTCTTTGTCCACTATTACAATCTCTGTCTTTGCTTATCAGACAAAGATGTTAATAAAACACAGCTACAGTTCTACTGTGTTGTCGCTGGTTTAGAAACGGCTGCCTCTCATTGTTTTAAAAATGTACCTGATGTTCTTTACCTAGCTGGAAACAAGGTGATCTTTGTTGAGGCGGTTTGGTCAGAGGTTTTGTTTGTACTGCGTCCTGTCCTGTAAGTGGTTTCAGTCCTCTGACATTGTCTCATCTTTGGAAATATTATAACAGTTTAAGCAACAGCAGAAGTGACACAATAGTGTATATAGAGAAATGTATAAAGAGCATATAGAGTACATAAATATAGATTCAAAATAAATAGCTGTTCTTGAATAAGCCACCTGTCAACTGAGTGAAAGAAAAGAGATGAAAAAGACAGAAACTGATGCTCATTCCAACTGTAAATCCTTAACCTGTTCTCGTTTATAATATGCTATATCATGGTTACATTTTGCATCTCTGCTGATAATCTGTATTTTATCTAAGTGGCTTAGCACAGGTCATTTTAAAAAGTTAAAATGTAACTTGTGTTTCCAACAACTTCTCATTCCAACTCGTCACATTCTGAGGCTTTGTCAGACCCCTATTGCGTCACTTTCACGGTTGCAGTAAACACGTGTTGTGAATTCAAACAACACTTTAGGCTTAGCCAACAAAACACCATCAACATCATGGTTGGGCTTAAGATCCATCAACTCCAAAAAGTAAAACGTAAACAACGTGACAGAATTACGGACAACACGTCACAAGCATCACTAACGTAACTTTCGGGAACACCAGAGAACGGGCTGGTCAGTCTCCATAGAAGAGAATGACACCGTGGTCATTGATGTGGATTCAATTACAATGTGTGTGTGTGTCGCGTTGATGCAGTACAAAACAGTCAATCATTTTGTTAGTCCTTTCCAGTGAAACTACAAAAGCTGGAGGAACGGCCACACCAGCTGCCTTGCTGAGTGTAGCAGCACAGCAGCAAGCGGTGAGACGCACAGAGCCGACATGCCGACCAGGAAGTTCATCACCATACCCAGCAGGAGAATAGCGAACAGGTATCCGTGGAAGAGCAGGCTTTGCCAGCTGCTGTGACTCAACACCTGCCAGGGACTGTCCGGGTGCAGCAGCCACAGGAGGCCCAGCACGCAGCTCTGGTTGACCAGCTGGGTGTAGTAGATGTCAAAAACGGAGGCTTGGGCGTCGGGGTGGTGGCGGCGCTCGGCCTCAGACACTTTAGCCAGCCAAGTCAGAGACAGACTGTGGAGGATTAAAGCCAGAGGTGCATACATGTACTCCAGAGGCTCAACGCCTGACAGACCTCGGGAGGCTGCAGAGAGAAAGAGAGAGACAGGCAGGAAGGTAAATAGAGGTGAAGAACCATCAGTTTCACCTCTAAATAACATCCAAACCTTTTTTTTTACCTTTGACGACAAAACATGTTCCGCCTAGGATGGAAATCAGAACAGAGGTGTGGAGGGATGGAGTGGATGCCAGCTTCTGAGAGAAACTGAAACCCACAGTTAGCATGGGCAGCAGAGGCAGGATGAGTGGGAAGAGGCCGGCATTGGAGCTGTTGGCCTTGGCCCACATGGCCAGTACAGCATGGATGCTGTTACAGATGGAAGGCACCAGCACTTTCTCACCCAGGGACCTGGAGTAATGCTTCAGAGGCACCAGATCCAGGACATGGAGGAGATGTAAGACTAAGAGAGAGACCAGAACCTGGAAGAGATCATGTATATGTAAAGAGTTATAGCATCTATAAAACCCACGAAGCATTAAAGACTCAAATAGAAGGCAGAAGTATTTAACTACTGATATAAGGCTGCTAATTAGATGCTTAATTGAAGTTTGACAATCTACACTTATATTGCTACAACTTTTGCTGCTCAAATTGCTACCCAGAATCACCACAACTTGTGTCAAACGTAAACAGCGTGCACTAAACATACTTTATACCAAAACAATCGATTTTTTGACACTGGTTCTACATTCCTCCCTCACATGCATGTGTTGATTCTGTGCCTTCTCATTTATTTGTCTGGGATGATAAGCTAAATAAACTATATGAAATGAATGAGCACCATTTTTTTGTAATCAATCACTTGTGTATGTAATTTATCAAGAGAATTACGCCAAACACTTGCAGGCCCAGTTTCTATAACTCTAAATGGAATATCTTTGGGTTTCTTTCAGATAAACAAGCAATTAGACATCTGCACTTACATTTTACAGCCTAATTAATCAATCAATAAATCATAAAAAACAATAATCTGTTGATTGAGTGATAATAAAAATAATTGTTTATTGCACCCCTAATCTATGTCATTGAACTCTGTGCCAGCCTCCACCTGTCAGTGGGTCACACACTTCCTGACATACAGGACGCAGCAGGTGAGGCTGGGAAAAATCCCATTCAGCACCCGGACTATCAGCACCGGCGTCAATCAGTCAAACTGTGTCAGAAACAAATCCATGTGCAATAATCCGGAATCTATATATTCTAAATTATATATTTATACATACGGTATATATACATATTCCACCTACCTTATGTACATAAACTGTGACAATCCTTCCATATTTAAGTATCCTTGCACTCTGCATCGTTGCACTATTATCTCCATTTCATTGTCATTTTTGTTGTGTTTTATGTTCATATATACTTTTGTATATATATATGTTTATATTTAAATGTGTACATTGTAGTTAAATGTTTATGCTTACCTTTGTTATACTTTGTTGTCCTTGTTTTTGTTTATTTGTCTATTTCTGTGTTTGTACGTTGAGAGCAACCGAAAAAGACGGAGTCAAATTCCTTGTATGTATACGCATACATGGCCAATAAAGCTGATTCTGATTCTGATCAATGTTTTGTGTTTCAGTATATTCTTTTCTGTTATAATGAATGACAGAACAGCTTGATACATGTTTTGTCATATTTCAAATGCACTGTCACATATTCATTCATGTCCTATTGTTTTGAGGCTTAATGACCAAACTTAAACCACGAGGAGCAAATATAACCGGGATGCGAAGTGATTGTGATTTACATTTATTATTTTCCTTTTATTTGATTCACTATCATGTTTTATAATTGATTTCTTTATCTGTTTATTTATTAATTATTATATGACAGATTGTTTATTGCAAATTTATAGTTATAATTCGATACGTTGTATGGTCTCTTGTTACAAGTTTTAACTGTTAAAATAAAAAAAAATAGTGTTTTCAGAAAAATCCCTGTATTTCCCTTATATCCACAGTTAATATGTTTACTGTCAAGGTCAGTTGAACACTTACACAACTCATTCACAAAGTCTTTAGCTAGTTTCAACCTTTGGATGGGGCCACATTTACATCTCAGTCCTTTGTGCAGCTGTTTGGTTAAACATCTTCTGGGCCCCTTCTGTCACTCCCCACCACTAACACTACCACATGACGTGCCCTTCAAACCAGCACACACACACACACACACACACACACGCACGCACGCACACACACACACACACAGCAAATACTGACAGATTTACAATAGCCAGCAGCTATGAAGTTAACTGCTCCAGTGATTAACAATAATCCAATAAAAGACTTGTGATTTTTTGATGAGTAACACGTTATTCTCAATATTAGTGGTAGTAAAAGTAGTAGTAGTATACTTTTTTAATTCAGCATTTTTTTTACATAAATGTACATGCAGTATGTGTCAGGTTTTTTATAGTACTTCAGTATCAACATACTAGTTGTTGTTTGACAGAAATGCTATAAATGTACATGTAATCACAGTATACTCAATACCCTGGTGTCATGACACACAATACTCTGTGTATACTTAACAGCAGGTGAGCTATAGTGTGTGGTGTTGTCTTTTTAATAATTAGTAAAATACACAGACACAGGAGGTTAGACAAAGACAAAGAGTGCCTCCATATTGGATTGCTTAATTCAGAATAAAGTGTGAATCATCCTCAGAAACCAGCCAGCCAGCGCGCACCAACCTGGGCAAAGCAGAGAGCCACTGCGTATGGGAAGTGGTACTGTGGGATGAAGACGCCGGCCACAAAGTTTCTGAGTTCGTCGGCCAGGCCGTATATCACCACCACCGCCAGGCACAGGGTGGGAACCAGGGGCTTCAGTGCATGATTAGAGGAAAGACTCTTCGATGCTGAGGCACACCATCCCCTCCTCCACCTCCCTGAACTGCACACATGGGGACTTATTGCACGGATCACGTAATAACAATGACACAGCTGTCAATGTAGTTTGGTGAGAATTGAGTTTTTAGTTAAGGTTTTTTTTTAAAAGCCAATTTTACTGAGCTAAAAACAAAAATAAATTAAAACAAGAAAAACTCACGCGTTAATGGCCAACAGCCGGAGAAGGTTGCTTTGTTTGAATGACAGGTGGAATGACAGGTTTACATATTGGCTGTAAGAAATCGAACACCAGTAAACTGCAGCTAAGTATGCAAATCAAGTTTGCCTATGAAAATACAGTTGGCTTTATGATTTGCATGCGTGGTTCCCAGAATACCAGAAATAATCAAATATGTCTGCCATATGAATAAAAGCCAGTTGGATTACCTTTTACCTATAGACATGCTGTCATTCTGTGCAGATGTTGCTGTGTGGGGAAAAGAGAATTTTGTAGACGTCCAAAGAACATAAATAAATACCTGGATTACCCATTATGTCATATATTTGCTCACTGCAGCTGTGCAGTAAACTGATTACAGATTAACTCTAAAACTATTTCAACATACATGTGTTTTATATGCAGGACTAAATCTGCACCATTAACAGCAAAAAGAGCTCCTGACTTTTTGTTGTCCTGCTCTTATTTGGCTGTACTTAATGTCTTTTTTAATTTTGTTTTATTGATGGATGTCTCTGTTTTTTTGTCAAGATGAAGCTCAATTTCCCATGCCTAAAGAACAGAATATTCGAGCTCTTTATCGAAATGTGTACTCGTTTTAATGTGTATAATAGTATGGTCTATATACAGTAAATAATAGCTTATTTTTTAATACAAAATCAAGTTAAATTAAATTCTCGTAATAATAACATCGGAAAACACAAAGGCTATTCGCTTCACCGCAGCTGTAAAAAAGAAACAGGTATTTTTTTTACAGAAAACACAAGTTTTATATATTTTTTTACACTATGCACTTTTTTTTCGCATACAAGCTGGAAAAAGCGCGAGAGTCATAAACTCTACTCACCATTTGAAGTTCGTCATGAAGTCGTATTTCATCTTCAAACTCCAACCATTCCCTCCGAGGGACTACTTCTGCAAATAATAAGACTGTTATAACAACAATATTATAAATTCACCTTGGTCTTAACGAACGCGTCTCTCCCACCATTGTGCTGAATGAGCCCCTCTGCGCTCTGATGCGGACATTCACCTCGCTTGTTGTCTCGCTGTGTCCAGACGGACTTTGGTCCTGCTGGTCTGTTTGTCTTGTCTCATTATTAAAGACGACATCAAGGTGGACAGTTCTTAAAAGTCGGCCTCACACCAAGACACACACACACAGTGTCTGTGGAGTCCATCGGGATCTTTGTTTAATGACGCATTTCATTACATAAGATGTGTGATAGTGACAGACAGCAGCCTCGTGAGAGGAATGTCAAACGTCATCCCGCATCAATAATAGATGTATAAGCTTATTGATATACGTTCTGCTGATGATAGACTAAAACTTTGACACCTGTTTGTGACATTCTCCCCCCCTTCAGCTTAATGTTGTTTACTCAGCCTCTGTCAGGATCCCTGACATCATGGAGACCATGAGTGAAAAAAACACTCGAGGCTGAGAGGGGGGTCTCTGAATGAGCATTAAAAAAAACCTGTATAGTGACATATATACCACATGTAAGCACATTGATATGTATGACATGTGCACACTGATATGTGGACATACTTGTATTTGAATATATATACTTGTGTATATTCTTCCCGGACCATTCACAAAGTGTAGACCAGGTTTTTAGCAGTAAGTTCACTCAGGAGCACAGTAGGGGGGAGTCATACTTCATACTCTGTTTTGATGTTATTAGCCTTCTCATCTCACAAAGCTTTGGAAGCAAGTTTTTGGGAATAACAATTATCATTAAAATAAGATTTTTTGATATATTGATCATATGTGGGCTGTATATATATATTGAAAACTATGTTACAAGCTTCCATATTTCAACGAGGCAACTAGGATGAGATTAAAATGTTTTATATTGGTGAGGAAGTTAAATGTGACAGTGGACATTGTTTATGTTTCTGAAATAGGAAGTAAGTTGTTATCAGGGTTGAATGTGTCTTTTGTATGTTTTAGGAGACACATTCTAGAGGATGCTCTGATCCTGACAAAAAGCAAGCTAACTGCAAACAAATAATATGATTTATCAATTCAATGTTTTCATGTAGGAACCCCAAAATTACATTTGCTCTTGCCAAAGTGTATTAAGCATTCATATGGACATTGCAGTCCTGACTTAGTAACCTGGTGTGAACTGTTAAGTATCCCAGTGTATTCTTTCATACTACCGTAATCTTAAAACATTGTCCTGACCAAATTTCCATGTACACTGCGACTATTGGGAGTTAATTTGGGTGAGGGCTCCTATCCAGGTCTCTCATCTCTCACCTGTCACTGCCAGCTACCTCATTGCTCTTGAGGGCACTTCACCGTTACTGTGTTTCCCAGACTACCAGCTAATTTAAGGGCAAGGCTGAAGCGACGCTGAGTAAGAATCACAGCCACAACAAATAGTGCATAGTGTTGGGCTTTTTGAGAGAATACTTTTCAATGTGTTTCACAGGATCTCTTTGTTTTCTTAGTTTAGCATGTTCTTCTAATGAGGGGCTGCTGGGAACAGCTGATGCATCTGCCAAATGACTTAAACGAGATGGGCGTACTACTGTCCAGGTAAAGGTTTTTAAATTGTGAAAAAACAAAAACAGTGCTTTGGTGAGTCATTTTTAACTGGTTTTGTGTTCCGTCTCCTATAAAGTTGTATTACTGTACTGAGAGTGCACTTCTCTGTGTGCATGTGTCTCTGTGTCCGTCTCAGATTGAACAACAGTTGCAGAGGAAACTCCAGAGAGCCTGTCAACACATCCGAAACAGCGAGCAGCATCTGTGACAGAGAGGTCACCAGCACGGACAGTGACCATTCCTCCATCATACCTAATCAGAACAAAGGTAAAGGGAGTATTTTTACTTCTAACTCGCTCTGTCTTTACGCACGGAAATGTTTGCACACACTGTACGCACGCAGACAGACTGTACTTTGTATTTCCTCTGCCTGCATACAGCGTGTGGGCCAGAGGGGATGCTGGTTCCTGCTCCTCCAGTAACAGCGTATGTGGAGAGAGGCTACATCACCCCACAGCAAGTGTACAACCTGCTGAGCGCAGAGGAGGGCCAGCCTGCCCTGTATGATCCGTACTACATCCTCATCCTGGACTGTCGCAGCACAGAGAGGTCAGTGCTGCACATGAGATGGGAAAGTGTGTTCTGTTTTCAGCCATAAGGTGACCTCACAAATAATGCAGGGACTACCTGAAACACAGTTTTTTGGACTATTTAAAGGATAGCTTTTGTGATGTTTTTCTTAGTGAAAATATGAAAAACAATAATGAATTGATTCTACTAACAAGTGTTGTCTGTGTTTTCAAAGCCTAACATGCTGCAATGTGTTGCTCTGTGCCATACGTCTTTATTGATTAGTACTAAATTCAAATGAAGGGGGGCCACTGTAGTTCATTTTGAGTCAATTCCACATAAGGACACCGTCCTGCGGCCGGTGCCGGAGCACCAAATGTGTATTAGTCCGCTTTTGAAAATAGTTCCCAAACAAATGCACTATTGACTCCTATTGAACATTTGCTAAAAACTACAGTGCCCAGCTGTTTTAAGAAATTACTTTCCATTTTTTTCAGTTATAATACATAATCTTTACGAATTTGTGTGTCAGGTACGAGGACAGCCACATGGTGACAGCGCGGGCCGCTGTGACGGTGATCCACCCTACGCTGGGCTGTCTGATCAGCTGTATAGAACTGCAGAAGTATTCTATAATACTGCTGTATGCAGAGGAGGGATGCAGCCCAGGTCAGCAAACCACATTCAGAGACTAATATCAAGCTGACATTTTAGGCTTTTACTGAACTGTCTTGATGAATTGCCTGGTTCCAGAACTTTGAATCCACCCACTCCAACAACTTTGAGTTGACATCTCTGTCTGATATCAGGCAAATTACTTTGAGGGTGATCCCTCAACTTTAAATTCAGCGTCATCATCAGGTTAATACTTCAACATTTTGTTTCATGTGAAACTGATAACATTCCCATCATTCTCAGCTGTTCCTATGCGCTAATTATTTGACACAATGCTGCTAACACAGTGAACATAGTAAACATTATATCTTCAACATGTTATCATTGTCATTGACCGTAGCATTTTACTCAAAGCACTGTGCTGCATACTCGTAGTTGTGTTGACATCTACCTGACTATCTGTATTGACTAGCTGTCTGTGTTCTGTCACTGTCATTGTTTCTATATGTCTCTGTGCTAATTTCAGTGGGCAGTGTGAAGGCCAGGACTGACTCCCCAGACCTCCTGCGCTGTTTCTTCCAGATCAGTGGTTTGGGAATGGACCCTGTCATCCTGCTGGGGGGATTTTCAGCCTTCCAGGCCCTCTACCCCTATCTCTGCACACCACGCATGGTCCTGCTGGAACCTGAGCGGCACACTCTCACCATCTACCCCTCAGAGATCCTGGAAGAAGCTCTCTACCAGGGCTCTGCCTCCCAGGCCTCTGACTACCGCATCATCAAGAATCTACACATCACACATGTGGTCAACGCCACTGCCAGCTGCCCCGATGCATTCCCCAACATGCTGTGCTACCTGAAGCTGTGTCTGAGCGATGACGCCCAGCAGGACCTGGTGGAGGCACTGCCGCTGGCCTCCAGGTTCATCAACTCGGCCCTGATGGGTGAGCCTGCCGGCCGCGTTCTGGTCCACTGTAGCGTAGGCAGGAGTCGCAGCTCAGCAGTGACGCTGGCCTTCCTCATGGAGCATCGACGCTGGTCACTGCTTCATGCCCTGCGCTGGTTGAAGGAGAGGAGGGCGTGCTCGGCACCTAACGTGAACTTCCTGCGTCAGCTGCTCACCTATGAGGAGCTGCTGTTTGGGAGCAAACTCACCTCCCTGAACGACATCTGCCGATGAGTGGAGTAAGAAGGGGAATGGAGAGGAGGACACACTGGACGAGTGGCCGATTCAGAATGTGGCTTAATAGCTGGAAAAATTTGGATGGGCCTGAATTTATTTAAGCTCAAGAATAAAACGTTATGGGGAGAAAAAAACTGGCGGACTGGTAGTGAATTTAAGTATGCCTAGTACTCATGTCAGAAATACCACAGGCACATTTATCTTGTTATTCTATTAGGCACTGGTGTTAGTATTACTTCTTACGCACTTTTTACATGTTTATTCCTGTTTTATCTTATGTTATTGTACGGTAATTTACCTTTTCTATTTCAGTTGACTTATTCTACTGAATTCATCTTACTCTTATTGTTATTCTAGTTTGCACTCGTGTTATTATTACTCCCTATACACTTTATATTTATGAATCTGTTGTGTTGTTTTTTATTATATTATTGGGATTTTTCAGCAATCTCTGGCACAAGAATTTCTTTGGGGATTGATAAAGTTCTCCTATCTTGAATCAATGAACCAGTCAGATGAATGGCTATCTCATCTAAACATGAAACAGAAAATAATAACAAATAATATTTAGGGCTATACTGAACAGTTCGAAGCTTGTGCATATTTTTTAAATGTCTATTTATTGTGTTTAAACCGGGTATTTCTGCACAGTTGCAGCGCCACCAATATTATTGGTACTATACTATTTGTAGAATTAGATTACAGTGGTGACTGTGTAGGATTGCTTCCGACTTGTTTCATCCAAACATTTCCAATAACTCCGGAGCGCAGTAAAGTCCAAACGTCCAAATTTATTGAAAAAAGATAGATGTGATCATTTCCAAAATTTACAGCATGTTTTTATGGAACAACATATTGTGCTTCAATACATACTTTGATATGTTTGCTCTCCCGTTTGTTACACAAAAAAGGGAAAAAAGAAACATTCACTGACTGGACTTTTCCCCCCTGAATTCTCTCAAAGCCGTGATAGAAGTATTTCCCCCACAAGTTTGACATTAATTTTGCTTCTCCATCAAATCCCTCACACAATGTTACTTGTGCTATACCTCAATAAACACATTAATACTGGTGTTAAATGTAAAACAGAGTATAATATAATCCCTTCTATGACATTTTGCTTGATGATAGTTGATAGAATGTATACATGGATAAAGTGTATCTGTAGTGTTTTACATTAGAACGTTTTTTTTCTTCAATTCTCCTACATAATGTGACGGTATTATGATATTCTGAGGCGGAATTATCCATGCGGAAAAGTATTTAAAAACAGAATGGAGGCTTGCAAATGGTCTTTGTTTATCACAGACATACACACTGTAGTGTTTACACAGGGCATGCCATTGAGATTTGTTGTATATGCAGTCAACTTAACAGTCAGCCTCTCTCTGTTTCATTCTCTCTCTCTCACACACACACACACACACACACACGCGCGCGCACACACTTAGCTCCACCCTGTTGAACTCAGTAGCATGCAGCAGGAATTCCCTCCCTCCAGTCACACTTTTTTTCGGTTGGGAGGAAGGAATTTTCTGGAATGTGGAAGAGGAAGAGGAAAGGCAGGTAAAAACGGTGAAAAATAATTAGTTTGGCCAAATTAAACTGTTTAAAACTACAAAACAACATGAGTTTGAATGGGGCTATTGAATCTATGGGCACACAGCACATTCCTTGTCAAAGCGTTTTGTCAATGAAATATGGTTTTCAAAAAAAGGGATTTTTTTTTTTTATTGAATGACATGGCCAAAGCAAAAAAAAGAAGGCACATTGAAGTTTTGCAGCGGTTTCAACACGTGGCAGAAAGGTGACGTTAGCTTTTTACCATTAAGACCCCAACTAGCCTACTCATCCATGTCTACAGACAACAAGACACCTCCCCTAGCAATCCAACGCCAGCCCCCAAAGTCTCTCGTAGCGGGGGGACTTTATGCATGTGAGGTTCTGCACGTAGCGTTCAGGCTTTTTTTTTTTTTTTTTAGGAATCCAGCCCTTTACCACCAGATGGCCAACAGTGCGCAGAGACATCCCAGATAGGTGGAAGAAGTACCAGACCTCTCTGTGCGCGTTCATCTGCTCACCGCTAACGAGACCTCGGAGGACCAGACGACAAGGGGACACACTTCTGCTGCAGGATGCTCTCGGTTAGGTAAATATTGACTCCCGGTGGACTGCTGTTTTTAGCTTGCTAGGTTAGCTGAAAACTAGCTAAGCTGGAGGAAACTTTGATATAGCACGACAGCTCGCGGCAGCAGCGAATAACACGATACGACTGCACTGATTACTACGGAGTAATATTAGCTCAATTCGGTAAGCAAAAGCCGTAAATGGCGAGAAAAGAAAACCCATCCGGAATTTTCCCCCTGGTTCATAAAACTTGCGTCTGTGTTGTGGCATTCCTGTGCAATGCAGCGTGGGATGCTGCTGCAGCTTTATCTTACACACACACACACACACACACACGCATACATTAACAGCATAATGTGCACGGATTGTATTTGTTGAGACGTTCTGCACGGTAACCACACACTTCAGTGAGCTCACGGTATTAGGCTATGTGGGGATAACAAGCAACACTGGGAAGTTTTTTAAGTTGCATTCTTGTTTGTTTTAGCTCATTTGGTTTGTGAGTTAACGAGCAGCATTAGCTGCCTTCCACAAATTAACAGCCCCCCCTCCTCTCCTCTCCTCTCCCGCTGTCAGTGAGTTTTTCTGGGGTTATTGAGGGGTTATTCCTGGGGAAGTCAGTCCGACTCCATTGGGCTCATGAGTTTCCCCGGCGGGGAGGGGCGAAGACGTGGCAGTCAGTCCTCTTCTTCATCCGCATCCTGTGTTATCTGACTCCACTGCTTCACTCCCAGCGAAACTCCGTAGAGGTAGTGAAGCGGTGAAGGCCATTTCTCTGCGAAGAATATGCTAAAACACAACGTTAGACTGAGTGGAGGAGTCTTACGTTTACTGAAAACTGTAGTGAGGCTGACCCAATGTGTTAACTAATGACCATGTGTAGTTTAAAAGGGCTCACATGTGTGAATGCTACTCAGTTTGTGGGATTGGGACCATTTTATCATATAGTACACTGTCAAATATTCTGTTAATGAATCTATTACTTTTTGTATTATTACTGATCTATTCTGTATCTGTTCCCTGCGTATATTGTGGATGAATGTTTATGCCGTGACAACAGTTGGGTTGTTTTTCATAGCTTCTTTGTTTTTTGTGTAATTTCTTTAAAATCAAAGAGCATTATTTATCAGTTGTTTTTTTTTAGGGTGGATCCTTCATCCAAATGTGATAAATCCTCTTTACCCACAATTAACATGAAGCTGATTGTGGGGGAAAAACAATCCTGCTAATCAAACATGTCTGAACAAAACCAATCCACACATAGTTCTAAAGGCCAGGAAATAAAAACGTACCGGGAAGTTTAATGCAAAGTAGTTTTCTATAACCAGTTCAAACAAACAACCCCTCAAGTGTCTGATAATTTAAATGTTGAATTGCCATCGGGAATGTTTTGGAGTCTTCACATGACACGTACAAGCATGTATACATACAAACACTCTCACTACCGCTCACTGTCATGTGTGACATGACACACAGATCTTAAATATAAGTGGCATACTTGCAGCGTTCATCTTGACATTACACTTAAACAATATTATTACAAGAGCAACACCGTTGCTGACACCCTGTCATTATAATAATTATATTCTATTGAGTTTTTATCCTGGAAATCTAAGTGGCAGAGGCATATTTATGGTATCGTGGACTGAGTGGCACCACACTGGTAGTCTGCTAATGGTAGTTTGTGTCTTGCCATGGAGTGTCTGCTTGAATATCCTTTAATGTAATTTAATTATGCTTTAATCAAATACATAGAGCTCTGACACATTTATTTTCCTTCCTCTCTGCTGCGTGCTGCTGACCTGAATTGAAATGTCATATGGAGTCATTCTTTTATTTTCACTGAAGGCTTGTCCTTGTGGCAAAAACGGAACCTGTCTGAGCCTGTTGTCTGCTTCCAGTGAAGGCACGCTA